TGTGTGTGTGTGTGTGTGTGTGTGTGTGTGTGTGTGTGTGTGTGTGTGTTTGTGCGTGCAGCTCTGGTCTTTTCTTCTTTTAAGGATACTGATCCTGTTGGATGAAGGCCCTAGCTGATGATCTCATTCAACTTCAATTACTTCTGGGAAATTCTGACTTCAGACCTTGTTAGATTAGAGGTTAAGACATCAAAATATGAACGGGGTGGGGACACAAACCCATAGCAGACAGCAGTCAGCATGGGTGGGGGCCCTGGGTGACCTAAGTGAGACTAAACCACAAGACTGAGAACTCGCGCTGCGCTTTCCAGCATTCATTTGTCCATTCGCGTATGAATTCATTCATTTTCTAAAAGGTTCATGTGCACGAGTGTTTTGCCTGCGTGTGTATGTGTGTGTGGATCACTTGCATGGTATCCGTGGAAGCTAGAGGAGGAGTTTGTAGCCTCTGGAACAGGATGACAGATGACTGTGAATCACCACGTGCTGGGAACTGAACCCGTGTCCTTTGCAAAAGCAGTCAGTGCTCCTACCGTTTGAGCGGTCTCTCCAGCTTCGTTTGCTCTTTTTAAGGCAGGGCCTCATGTAGCAGGAGCCCTCACTCCTCCCACCCACTCCCCAGGCACTGGGGCTGCAGTTCCTGCTTCTCTGTGGCCGGTTTGAATTTTGTGACTGTTGAGAGGCTGTGAAGATTGCTCAGGTGGTATTTGCATCCCTGAATGTCTTTTAATGTTCATTCCTCGAGTGTCTGCTCCGCCCAATCACAGGTCCTCGGGGCAGCCAAGAAGTTTCCGTTTTACTTCAGTTGGGGCTTCAGCAGCAGGGTTATAGAGGCTACTGTATGTGTGAGAAGTATTGAGCACCGGCATCGAGAAGAGAAATGTTTACATAGAAATGCGCTTGGGTTGCATCGTACCACACTTAGCAGCTCACAGAGGTGGGGGGTTAAGGAGAGAGACCCGTTTTCACTGCTATCTTATTTCGGTCCACCAACCAGATTCTTTTAGGATGCTAAAGGTTTAGACCATTTCTAGATTTTTCTCTGAACAAGTTCAGAAAGCAAGCTGACAGAATGGCTCTGGGGATTGAGCACCTGAGACCAGAAGGACTGAGTGAGCCTCCCTCCCCCTCCAGCCTGGCTTTCCTCCATCGTTTATCCCTGCTCAAAGGTTGGGAACCAATCTCCGGGCTGGAAGTGAGCTGAGAGTGACCTGCTTATTCACCTTGCTAGATTGCTGTGGCTAAAAAAATCCACCTGTAATTACTCCTGTCTCTATTAATAAACTCCGAAAGAAATTCCGTGGTAATAATAATACTGTGAAAAGAGTATCGAAGGGGAAAATCTCCCCCTCACAGGGGGTTGAAGGGAGATCAGTAAAATGCTTTTAGCTTAGCAGGCTGCTATTTCTAAGAATTATTTCTGGCTAGAATGGACCAGGCATATTGGTCCTCTTACTATCCATTGCAGCTGGCCACATCTGGCACCAGGAGCAGCTTTTTGTGTCTACACTGTAAACATTTTTCCTGAACCGTGATTATTAAACAATAGGCCACATTTTCAGTAGCCTGTATCTGATAATATGACTTAGTCTTTAAGGTAAATATCATACAATATTTTTGAAAGCTAAAAGAAAAACAGCATTATCTGATGTTGGTAATTACATTGCTGGAGGTTGGGGGTGACTCTGGGTAAAGTGCTTGTCACACAGGCATGAGGAGTTAGGTTTGAGTTCAACAACCACGTAAAGAGCTGGGTGCCCCAGTATGCATCTGTAATACCAGCTCTGGGAAGATGGACACAGGTGGATGGGGGAGGGGAGGTGGACACAGGTGGATTTGGGGAGAGGTGGGCACAGGTAGATCCAGGGTAGGGGAAGATGACACAGATGGATGTGGGGGGAGGTGGACACAGGTGGATAAGGTGGGGAGGTAGACACAAGGTCTCCTCAGTAGGTACAGATGTTTCACAGGCTCTACGTGTTTGATTTGGAGGATCTCTGGCATCATTCTAGCTCTTTGTTTCAGAAACCATCCTGGGATGGCATGGGCCCATGTCACATTCCACAGACCAGCTGAAAAATGGGACCCTTGGCTCTTTGCCTTCGGCCAGTGCCAACATAACGTGGGCAATTCTACCGAACTCGGCTGAAGAGGAGCACATCTCACAGCCAGAGCCAGAGGTAAGCCGGAGGCCTTTCCTAGCACACCCGTTGCTTTGTTAGCACTTGTTCAGCAAGTGGGCGAGTGCATTTGTAGCATGCTCACTACTTTAGGAGGAGGCACATAGCAAAAGCAAGGATTCCCTGGAGTCAGAATCAGCTCCTTGCCTGCCTGGAACTCTCCCCTGTCCTTCTGTCTGGCAGCTACCCAGAGCCAGTTGCTATTCTACCATTGAGGAGCCTCCAATTTTGATTGAAATGAACCTCATTTTAACTTCAAGTGGGAGAAATTTTAACAGACCCTAAAAGTTTCTAAACGTGCCTCTTGGCTTGATGGGAGCATCATGCGGCTCCCCTGAATTATGGCTTCTCCATATGGTCCATGCTGGCCAGGCTCTTGCCTCCCACGCTTGACTCCTGCATGCCTCTGACAGGCCAGCGTGAGCCGTCCTCATTCGTGTTGTGCTCAGCAGGTTCAGGCTGCACGGGACCGCTGCCCTGCACAGGACAACCCCTGCAGATTCTGACCACCTGCCCTACCCTAGCGGGTTGCAGGGACTCTTCTGTCTTCCTGCCAGACACAGCTCTGGGCCCCCAATTCTGCCTCGGTGGCTACTGGAAGGAGCTGTGGTTCAACTGTGTCAACAATTAAATATGTATAGTCCTGACATAGAATATATTATAACTTGAGGTAATTTGAGTCAGGCTCAGGCCAATTTTAACCATTCTTAATCTCCATCAAAATAATTTTAGCCTGAAAACTTCAGAAGACTCACAGTAGGCATTTGGAAGGGGCAGGAGTCCTGGGAAGCTTTTGCCACAAAGAGAAAAACTAGCCTTGGTGAGCAGTTGCTGTTCCTCTCCGTGTCTGACCGCCTTCGGTAGCAATTTAGTGGTGTAGCTCCTACAAAGGCAGGAGCCACCTGCTAACGAATATCTCAGGCATGTCTTCAAGGAACCTGGGCAGGGTCTGGAGTAGGGATGTGAACTGGGGTCGGTGGCTCTGCGAGGACTTTCAGGCCGAGGCAGGCATGCAGCCTTGTGGGAGCTTCGTGTTGGTGACTGTGTTGGGAGCCCCGCATCCCCTTGAGGAGACTGGGTGGGCAAGTGTTTGAGGATGGTGCATAACTACAAGGACATTTTTAAAAAACACAAGGGGCCGGCCATGTTGATGCACACCTGTAGTCCTGATACCTGGGAGGCTGAAGCAGGAGGATCAACCTTGCCTACATAGTAAGTTCCCAGGCCAGCTTGAGCTACATAACACCTTTTCTCAAAGAGACAGACAGTATGCTAATTAAACCATTAAATAGCTTTAAAAAAAAAATAGAGCAATTAAGATGGCTCAGTGTGTAGAGGAATGTAAATTCAGAACATGGCTGTTCTGCCAAGATATCACATCCAAAGACCTTCTAGCTATGTGATCTGGCTGGAAAACAAACATGCCTTTAATCCAGGAGACAGAGACAAGCAGATCTCTGAGTTCTAGGCCAGCCTGGTACAGAGCAAATTTCAGGTAAAGAAAAGCTTAGGTCCAGGCATGGTGGTACACACCTTTAATCCCAAACAAGGAAGGTAAAGTTAGTTTGTAGAAGGAGGCACCCGTGTTTGAAAGTGATATTTAATTGAGTAGCAGAAATAGAGATGAATCAGAAAAAGATTTGACAAACTAGGATACACCCAACTTTCACAAGAGAGAAGAGGGAAGTTGCTTAAGGGCCAATAAGAGAGAGAAGGCAGGTTAATGGGGACAGTAATAGAGAGGATGCAGAGAGAGAATTCAAGTGAAGGCCAAATGAGCCAGAGAATGAGCAGTAGCTAGGAGATTAGAACAGATTGTTGAAGTTAGTTTAAGGCCAAGCAGAGTAATTCAGAGGCTGAGAGAGAAGCCAGATTGAATAAGTCAGCTGGGAGATGAGTTTGAACAGAACAGCTAAGTTGAAGCAGCCAGCCCAGAGCTCAGAAAGAACAGGAAAGGGTGAGCTTATTCAGCAGTAAGCCTCAGAGGCTGAAAGCATTCTAGGCCTGGGTTAGATTGTACAGAGGCCAGAAGCTTTCAGGACTAGGCCTACGTCAACAGAAAGAAGCAATGATCCTCCAAGATGACAGGTGAATAAAAGTTACTTTTGCATCAGTGGATAAAATTACTTTCTGTGCCTGACTGACAGCCTGAGTTTAACCCATGGAACCTGTGTAAGTGAAAGTGGAAGGAGAGGATTAACTCCACTTTGTCCTCTGACCTCCACATGCTCATGGTATTATACAGAACAACACATTGGAAAAGTCTGTAGATACATACAAACATACACACACACACACATACAGTTTCCTCCGTTCACCCAGGGGGGCAGTGTGTGTGCGCAAAGCTTTACTCCCCAGGGAAGCTGAGAGAGACCTTTGTGATCATTAACATTTTTATTTTTAAATTTAAAGTTACATTTGTTTATCATGTGAGAGAGGGAGAGAGAGGTTGTGGGTGTGAGCACACACGTGTGTAATTGCTGCAGTGCATAAGCGGAGGTCGGAGGACAATTTTGGGGAGTTATTTCCTTCCACCATGTGGGTCCTAGGGATTGACCTCGGGGCGTTAGGGTTGGCAGCAACCACTGAGCAATCTTTCTGGTCCCATGATCATTTGTTTTTACGTTCTCGTTCCCAGCAGCGTTCTCAGGCAAAGGATCACAGAGACTAGAGCCTAATAGATACAGGGGTGAGGAATAGGGGATCCACATTTTGTTGTGGGGTCCCCTGCAGTATTTCTTCTTCCTTTCCCAGGGAGCCGTGCTCTCCGCCTCCCACACAGAAGCTGGTCTGTTGTTTATATTTAAGGTTGTGGGCTGATTCACATCACCTGTCAGTGACATTGGCAGGACATAGTATACGCTGTTCATGCTCCCGGGAGCTGGGGACGTGATGTCCGCCACCAAGTCTGGTGACCTGATTCCGTCCCAGGACCCACAAGATGAGAGAGCCAACTCTTGCAAGTTGTACTCCAACCTCCACATGGACGAAACAGAATTTTTAAAACGATTAGATAAAGGATGTGTGTGTGTGAGAGAGTGTGCTCTCACTTGTGTGTGTGCTGGAGAAGGGAGACCAGAAGAGGGCGCCAGATCCCTGGAAGCCGGACTTAGAGGTGGTAGTGAGTCTCCTAACATGGGTGCTGGGAGTCAAACTCTGGGCTCCTGTGGGCGCAGCAAGTGCTCCTGCTGAGCTGTCTTTCCAGCCCCGCAGTAAACACACACACACACACACACACACACACACACACACACACACACACAGTACTAACTCTAAAGCTCTGCTTGAAAAAAGAAAACCTTTGGCCAGGAACATGGGAACAAGCTATTGATTTTTGGTTGTTGCTGTCACCTTCCTCCTTTTGTGAGAGCAATGTTAGACACCATCCAGTGACTCCTGGAGGCAGAGCGAGACTTAGAATGGTGGGCTGGCGTCATAGTGCGTTTTAGAGACGGGAGCATTGAAAGTCTCTTGTAAAGACTCCTTTATTTTTCCCCAGTGAGAGCCCTGGCGGATGATTCTCAAAATCCAAATGGCCGGTGGTTAGATAATAGTTTTCTTTTTGGAACACCATGCTTTCTCTCTCTCTCTCTCTCTCTCTCTCTTTTTCTTCTTACTGGTTGAAGCAGCTAGCAAAAACCATCCAATAGTTCTCCTGTTAAACGAAGTGAAATGTGGCCATTGCCTTCTCCTGTACGATCAGGAGAAACCAACTCCAGGAGAAATGGAGAAAGTTTCTCAAGGATAGACACCCCCTTGGTTCTTCATCTGTGCTGACGCAGAGAATGTAGTTACTTCCTTGAGTGGTCCCCATTGAAGAGCTAATTTAAGGGAATTAAATTAAAGGGAAGATAGTTCAGCCACTAAAGTGATTGTCACTCAGGCATGAGGGCCTGAGCTTGGGTCCCCAGCACTCAGGTAAAAGCCGGGCCTGGTAGTGCAGGTCTGTGTTTCCAGGGCTGGGGGGGAAGGCGGGAGGAGGCAAAGTCCAGCAAAAGACTGGCTCAGAAAAATAAGGTAGAAAGCAACAAGACGACGCCCCAACCCAGTCTCTGGTGTCTACATGTATTCGCACACAAGAGCACACACCCCAGGCTCCAGAACCGTGTTTAAGAATTGTAGTTTTCTGTGCATTAGCTTAGGGAAAGCATTTTCCTCTTTGCTGCTTTGGTCATTCATTCTGTCTTTCAGAGTCATAATTAGAATACAAAAGTATGCCCGTTTCCTCCACACACCATAAAACGACTTACACGTGGAGAAAACACATGTGTTTTCTTCTTTGATTTGTTCAGTGTGTGTTGGGGGGATGGGATGTATGTGTAAGGGTCAGAGGACAGTTTGTGGTAATCAGGTCTCTCCTACTACCATGTGCGTACAGGGATTTGAACTCAGGTCTTTAGGCGTTGTGGCAAGCACCCTGACCCTCTGAGCCATTGCACTGGCCCACACACACATTCTAAATTTAGTTGCTTAATTCCCAGCAGAAGCAAAGCTCAAAGAGCGGCATGTGTTGAATCCATGCTCTGGAAGGGAGTGTGGTAAGCTCTGATGTAGAATCCGTGATCCGCTGTGGCAGGAACTAACTGAATGTGACAGTGACGTGTTCTTTCATAATGAAATGAGTTAGGGTCCTGGTCTTATTAGTAGAACAAGTTTACGGCTTCATAACACTCTTTGAAATTCAGGTTTAGTTCTTAGAAGGCTTTATTCTGCCTCCTTTATCTAGGATCAGCGTGTTTTAGGACCAGCAGGCGATGCAGAGCTCCCTTGCCTTCCCTCTGTCTGCCGCTCAGCTTTCCCTGGTTGGATGTAAGGACACAGCTGTGCACCCCAGACAGGACCCAGACGGACTGAGGAAGTGATTCCATCCAGGCAACTAAGTGAACCAGATTTTATGGGGGCTACTTACAGAGCAATGGGGGAGGGGCTCCGTCATTGTCTCAGCTCCAGCCGGTCCTGCAGGGTGGTCCTACTGTGTGAAACCTCTTGTGCATGGCAAA